CCTTAGACTTGTGAATTCTCAAAGCAGTTGCTTAATTGCTCCGTGCCTTATTTTCCTCATCTGCAATATGAGGCCTGGAATAGAACTAGCCCTTAAGGCAGCAGTGAAGATTAACAAGGTGGGAGGGTTCCCCTGCAGCATGTCCCGCACATGGCAAATACGCTATGGATGTCCGCCGTCATTTTTCTCATCTGGAAAGGAGTATACTAAGAGTACTATGTCAAGGACAGTCCAGAGGATTAAATGAGTTAACACACATGAAGCTTTCAGAACATTTTGGTAAGTAGGTGGTCGGTACGTGTTTGTGGTATAAGTCAGGCTTTTCGGATTCTGAGGGACCCTGGTGGTGCAGTAGTTAAACGCTCAGGTTAGTGGTTCAAACACACTAGCTGCTCCATGGGAGAAAGATGTGGCAGTCTGCTTCCATGAAGGTCTCAACCTAGAACACCCTATAGACAATTCTACTCTGTCCCATAGGGTCACTATGAGTTGGACGGGACTGGACGGCAATGGGTTTGGTTTTGGACTCTGACTTTAGGACCAGTGTCCCCTGTCTGTCAGGCGTGTATGACCAGGGGTCAGATGTACACCGCGGGCCATCCAGTCCTCTCACTACTCTCAGCCCCATTTAAAAAATTCCTATCACTGCCGGACAGATGGGGACTGTCACCCTCCCTTCCATCTCTGAAGCCACTCTGATCACCAGGCATCGCTTGAGAGATGAACTGGCTTGGTGAAGGCAGGCATGGCAGCACCAACGGATGCCAGATGCAGGCCTGGCACAATTTGGGGTGGACCACGGGCGATCCCTGAAGAGGGGAGGGGGTCTCGTGTGGTGGGCAGCAACACATAAACTGGTGCTAGAATGGACCCACCACCACCCTCTGCTCACCCACCGTGCAGTCCAGGCTGGCCTTTTGGCACTTCCTCGTCCCTTCAACCAGAATTGACTCTAACCCAGAGTTTCTCAGTCTGCACTAATGGGTGTTTGGGTTGGATAAGACTTTGGTGGCATGGGAGTGGGGGATGTACTGTGCTTTGTAGGCCGTTTATTAGGATCTCTGGGTTCTACCATTCATGACATGCCAGTAGTACCCTTACCCCACTTGTAACAATCAAACATGTCTTTAGACATTACCAGATGTCCCTGGGAGGGTGGGGTGGGCAAATTCTGCCCCCTGTTGAGAACTATTGCAACATGATTCTACCTGGATAAAGAACGGCCTTGTCACTCCTCTCCTCCAAAGTTCATGAGCACTTTGCAGAGACTCCTGGGTCTTGTCCACCCTTATACTCCCAACCTCTAAGGATGGCTCGTGGCCACAGTGTGTGTGTTCATGATTGCTGCATGGATAGTGAATGAACGGATGCACGGAGGAGGCCTCAGGGTCCCAGCCTCTGATGATGGCTCGTGGCCACTGTGTGTGTGTTCATGACTGCTACATGGGTAGGTGGATGAATGGAGGGCTGGAGAGATAGCTGGTAGGTGATGATCTACCCACCTGTTACCCTAATTAATGGCAAAAGCAAGGGCCCATGGTATCAGGTCATTGGTTATATAACTGAAGCCAGCCATATCTTCCAGCTTTGTGTAAGCTTGTAGTACTGCCTCTCTGTCCCAATCCCTTGGCAAGAAAACTCTTCTACCCCATCTGCCCTGAACCCCCAGGGCTCACACCTGTGTGCAGTAAGGACGTGAGGCAGGGATTTTGATGAGACGTTTATATTCTCCCTTCCCTTCATTAACAGACACCAAAATCATGGAGTCTTCCAAGACCTTCATGAGGAACTTGCCAGTCACCCCAGGCTACAGTGGTAAGTGGTGACATGACCTACAGACATGCTGGGTAGGAGAACTGTGGTCCTGGCCACTGTCCCCACCTTGGCCCACTGTCTACATCTGTTCAGCCATCTGGATAGTGCTCTAGCTTTTAAGACACATGTTGAGATCACTCCATGGCTGAAGATGACTGATAGCTGGGTTCAGACACATGGAGAGACTTAACTTCGGTCTAAGCTCCAAGGGCATAGCCTGGTATATAGGAGGCACTTAATCAACACCTGTTGAATGAATTTGGACCAGTTGCCATGGGCATAGACACAATAAGTTGAGGCTCCACCCTTCTTTCCAAGTTGGGCTTTGTCAAGTCTTGTGGTCCCCTTCCTCCCTGTCTCCCCTAAAGGAAAATGACCAACCATCCTGGTTTGACTGGGACTGACAGTCCTTTGTCCTGAGAACTACTCAGTTCTTGGAAAACCAGCACATTTGATACCTAAAGGCTTCTCTTCTCCATGCTTCTGGGTTACTCAGAACTTACATCCTTGTGGGTGACAAGCCCAGTGGTTACCATGGACACTCAGCTCTTCATACAGCTGTTCTCAGGAGAGTGGGTGGTTCACAGGAAAATCTTGAGGTTGCCCAGCCTCACTCTGATGGTACTGGCTGGGTAGGAGCACAGGCTTTGGGTTCTGACAAACTGACGTTCCAATCTCTGCTCGGCCACTACCTGTGTGACTGTAGGTAGGTGAGTTATTTGTCTTGCCTCTTTTTTATATGTAAAATGGAGTGTATTAATTTCCTAGTGACAGATGACCACGTACTGGGTGGCTTAAAGCGACAGAAATTTATTCTCCTACTGTCTGGAGCCAAGTCAGAAGTCAAGGACTAGCTCCTGCTGGAGGTTCTGAAGGAGCATCCACTGCCCGGCTCGCTCCCAGCTTCTGATGGCAGCTGGCAGGCCTTGGGGTGTGACGGCATCACCCTTGTCTCTGCCTCTGTCTTCACCTGCGTGTTCACTTGGCCTACTCCCTGGTGTCTTGGACTGTGTGCCTCAAATCTGCCTCTCCTTTCCCTCCTTAAGACACCAGTCATGGGATTTAGGGCCCATTCTAGATCCAGGAAGATCATCTCAAGATCTTTCACTTGATTATATCTGCAAAGACCCTGTTTCCAGATAAGGTTATATTGGGCAATAGGGTCAGAGAGCAGCCGGGGTTAGGACTTGGACATATCTTTTGGGGGACATAGTTCAACCCACTCTATGGAGCAGCAGCAGACTCCTCCTAAAATGGCTGTGGGGACTAAAAGAGCCAGCCTGCTCACCTCATGCAGCCTCTGGCCCTTCGCAAGACTCTCCATATGTATGCACATATATATAGAAGCTTATCAGATCGGATCAGAGAAGGCTCTGGCCGTGGAGAAACCACTGTGGGAGGGCCACGGGCTTTCTACTGTCTGCCCCACCACAACATTAATTTAAAAAAAAAACAGTTGTTTTCCATATGGAAGGAAATTTTCTTTTTGGTCACCAGGGATGGAAAGGGAGGGGGCAGAAAATTGCTACATAGGTTAAAAAAATTGCTAGATAGGTTATGAAAAAAAGGTGTGTGTGTGTATAAAAAACCAAACTCACTGCCTTGGAGTCAGATCCAACTCATAGCGACCCCTCCTTGGGTTTCTGAGGCAGTACCTCTACAGAAATAGATTTGCCAACCTTCCTTCTGAAGAGTGGCTGGTGGGTTTGAACTGTCAGCCTTCTGGTTAGCAGTCAAATGCCTTAGGCACTAGGCTATCAGAGCTCCTGTGTATTTATACCTATATGTACACACACATAAGACGATCATTGGTTACTAGCACCACTGATGCTAATGGTGGTGGAATAGTTTGGAAAAGAACAGCAGTAGTGGTGGCACAGTATGAAGAATGTCCCCGTGTCCCTGGGCTGTCACTGTGGATATGGTTGTGTTGGTGAATGTCTGGGTATGCATGCTTTCATGACAATAAAAGTAAAAAAACAAAAAAGTTGTTATCAGTTTCGACTCAGGACGCCCCCGTATGCTCTGAATAGGGCCGTGTTCTGTGGGTTCAATGGCTCATTTCTGTGGTGGTAGATTGTCAGGCCTATCTTCCGTGGTACTACTGAGTAGCCTCTAACTTTCAGCCTTTCAGCTTCCAGCTAGCAGCCCAGCATGTTACAACCATTGCACCACCCAGGGATGCCCTCATGACATTAACCCACTGCCATCAAGTGGATTCCAACTCATAGCACCCCTACAGGACAGGGTAGAACTGCCTCAAGATTTCCAAGGCTATAAATCTTTAGGAAGCAGACTGCCTCATCTTTCTCCCGTGGAGCAGTTGGTGGGTTGGAATCACCGACCTTCTCGTTAGTAGCCAAGCGCCGTAACCACTGTGCCACGAGGGCTCTTCTCATGATCTTTTAATCGGCCAAGGGTGGGAGAGACTGGTAAGGACCGCCCACACCATCAAGCTCAGTCCAGCATTAGATTCTGCCAGAGGTGGCTACTGAAGGATGCTGGGCTGAGGCTGCTGCATGTAGCCAGGAAGCCAGCTTTTCTTTGCCCAAGACAAAGGCAAAAATGAGAGCTGTTTATTTTTGTTCAGCACTGGGAAATATACCTCAGAATTTTTGCAGTTTAAAACCAAGTTCTTAACCAGTTTTTCCTCATCTGTTCTTAAAAAAAAAAAAAAAGGTTTTATCCTGACAATATTATAGTAGTTAGGATTCAGCATCCAGTTTAAATAAATAATTATGTTTTACCCATACTAATTGTAATGATTATATGTTATTTTGTGGGAAATGGTGAAAAATTGTTCTAGGGGTGGGTCACGCAGATAATGAGTTTACCTTCTGTGTAATAAGTCTCTGCTTTTAATAAGACCGCAATTTCTTAATGGTCTGACAAGAGAGATCCAAAATTGCATTTGGGAAGTGTCAGGGAAAATAAGGCTTCTCTCTAAAAAGATGAATAATTTCCATTACTCGTCGGACTATCATTTGGACCCATTAAACGCTTTCCCCATTTGTCGTTCCCACTGACATCGGGGGCTTTGCTATCAAAGAATATTCCTGTCATTGCCTTTGTTGAAATGGGCCTGCCCTCCCCAGCCCAAGGTTGTTTCTGGTGGCCTTGGGAGGGCCCAGCCACCGCAAACGACAGCGTTGCTTGTAGTAATGGCCTCTGGAAAAGTGCCGCCCTGTGGTGGAGGAATACCTGCCACGTGACACTGGGGTGTTGAGGCAGCTCTTAGTCCTTGCTGGAGGCCTTGCTAAGTAAGGGCTGTGTCCTGTCGCCTCTCGCAGGCTTCGTGCCATTCCTCAGCTGCCAGGGCACCCCCGGCGAGGACAACATGTCCGAATGCTTGAAAACGTTCCGGGAGAGCACGCGGCGGTACAGAGACCAGCTGGAGGAACTGCACTGCTCGGTGGCCGCTGCCCCCAGACTGAAGCCCATCTGCTCCCGGGAGACGATCCTGCGGGTGCTGCACCAGTACCACGAGCAGAACCACCCCCTGAGTCTGGGTACTGCACCCTGAAACCAGCCCCTTTCCCCACCGGTCCCAAGGGCAGGTCCTGGCCAGCCCTCGGAGCTGCAGCCAGTTAATCCAGTTGCGGTCAAGTGGGCTGCAGCTCCTAGTGGCCCCATGTGTGTCAGGGTGGGCAAAACTGCCTAGGGTTTTCAGCGCTGACTTTTCAGAAGTAGGCTTTCCCAAGGTGCCTGTGGGTGGACTCGGACCTCCATCGTTTGGTTAGCAGTGACCGTGTTAACCATTTGTACTACCCAGAAACGCCACCAAAAAAAAAACAAAAAAAAAAAACCTCACTGCCATTGAGTTGATCTCTACTCATAGGGACCCCTCCTTGGGTTTCCCAGGGGTTATCTCTACGGAAGTAGATTGCCCAACCTTCCTTCCAAGGAGTGGCTGGTGGGTTTGAACTGCCACCCTTCTGGTTAGCAGTCAAGTGCCTTAGGAACTACACCACCAGACAGCTCCAAATCCCTAGGAGTCAGTGCCAAGTGTCAAAGGCTCAGTTTCTTAAAATGAGAAAAGAACCATGTCCCGTGGGAAAGGGACCCAAGAGGAGCCGTAGTTGGGACAGCAGTGCTGGTCTGGGGACCAGGAGTGAGTGACACAAACTTTCTGACGTCAGCTTCCATGTCAGCAGGTCCCAATTTTTTCTTGCTTTCTCTGTGCTAGGCACCCTTATCTCATTAACCACCTACAACAACCCTATGAGGTCAACACTGTTATTCCCATTTTACAGGTGGGAGAAATGAGGCTCCAAGAGGTCAGGTCACTTGTCTGAGGTTGGACCATGGGTTCTGACATCAGACCTGGGCTTGAACCCAGCTGCTGGGCTGGGGACCTGGCACTGACTAGCAATCCCAATAGCAGTACTAACAAGTAATGCTATGATTTTATAATGTCACTCATCACAAAGCAGCTCTGTCTGCCATCTGCCATTTGTAAAAGTGATCTGACCTGGACCATTTTCAAGATCTGAAAACTCAGAGGAAAAATCATGTTGACTGCTGCTGCTGTTATTATTTTGGTTGAAATAAAAAATTTCAACAACACATGCTAATTTAAATATTTACTGTGCTTTGAACATTACCAAACCATTATAAATAGCATTGGCTCAAGAGTTTGGGAATTAAGCCTCTCTGTTACTACTTGCTGTGTGCCCTAAGGTAGGTTGCTTTCCTTCTCTGGGCTCCAGATTCTTCATCCAAGGCAAGGAAGGACGGACTAGAATCTTCCAGCTCTGTTGTTGAGACTCAATGGCTTTGTTTGATCCTTAGAGAAACTGGAGGAGGCCGATGGCTCAGTAATCTTTCATCTCACAAATGTAAAACTGGGTTTTAGAAAGGGGAAGTGACTTGCCCAAGGTCACAGAGCCATCGGAGTTAGAGTCATGATCAAAGTCAGGTTCCTGATGCTGAGTCTGGTGCACTTTCTCTTAACCTGGATGCACTTCTCCATTCCCTTAGATAAACAGTCACAGAGCGATGTTTGACATTTGTCATTAATCTGAGAAAAAAGCAGGATCTGTTTAGAAGCAAGGACTTGGGGACCGGATACCTGGGTTTGAATCCTGGCCCAGCCACTTTCTGGCTGTCTGAATCTTGGCCAAGTCTTAATCTTTCCAAGGTTTCAGCCTCCTCCTCCAAGAAATGGAGTAATGATGCTACTAACCTTATGGCTTGTGAGAGAATTCAATAAGACAATATACAGGCACACCTCATTTTATTATCATGCTTTTCACATATTGAGTTTTTTAAAACTTGAAGGTCTGTGGCAATCTTGGGTCAGGCAAGTCTATCACCACCATTTTTCCAACAGCGTGTGCTCACTTGTCTCTGTGTCACGTTTTTGGTAACCCTCACAATAATTCAAACTTTGTCATCACACTGCTGCACATTTAGTAGACTACAGTATAGTATAAACTTAAGTTTCATACACACTGGGAAACCAAAAAACTTG